AGAGAGAGAGAGAGAGAGAGAGAGAGAGAGAGAGAGAGAGAGAGAGAGAGAAAGAAGAAATAGGACCTACCAGTGGCACCTCCCAACCACCCACACAGTCAGAGAACAACAACAGAACAAAAAGAAAGAAAAGTAGGACCTACCAGTAGTGTCCTCCAACAACCCACAGAGATAGACTAAAACAACAGAAGGAAAGAAAAGACAGCAGCAACAGAGAGAAAAAGAGGCAGGACCTGCCAGTAGCACCCTTCAGCCACCCCTTACCTCAAGATTAGCCACACTCTTCTTGAGTTCTTTTATTTGCCGGTCTTTGGAGATGATGACAAAATACTCTGAGAAGCCACCAGATCTCATTGGCTGTGAAGACAAACAAAGAAGGAAAAATTCAGTAAAGGTAAACTTGGCCTCTCCCCCCAAACCCTCCTCCATTTAAAACTGATTCAGAGGCGCCAACCCCCCCCAACTACGACCAAAAATAGGACTTTTTCCACAAAATCCTCCCCCAAATAATAGCAGTTTGGGGGGAACAAACAAACTGGCATCTCCAGGAGCCCAGTCGATTGAGTAAACTTTATGTAATGAACCGACCACGAAAAATAAATGTAGGTCGCAAATATACAAATAAACCATGGATGCCAGTGTTTGAACAGCCCGATTCCTGCAAACCGACTTCCTGAATTCTTACATTCCTGCAAACTTATCACGTCCCTCCCGATCAGGGTTGTTTGCATGAAGCCGTAGTGCTTTCTTTCCACTAGTTCCATAAATAAGAGGCTTATCAGATGAAGTACAGTAGCAGTCTCCTGAAATGGAAACCTTACATCATGCAGAGAATGGAACACCTTTCTGGCATTTTTCTTTGAGCCAGTGCCAATGCCATGGATTTCTTACACCATCTTCACACTTTTAAAGCTTCTGAAACAGTTTTCTCAAGAAAATGATGCTCAGTTGACTTCATTCTGTAGCGATTCGGTAGAGATCTAGGTCTGCTAGGCTGAAACGGGCAGACGTCTGTTCAGCCTAGACGCTCTGGCCCACGAAGCGAAAACTCGCTCTCTTCTCTTACCAACTTTAAACGCCAAAAATATCGATCCTGTGCAAAAAATCCTAATAGCTTTGGTGATATGTTGGAATAAATTAAAGAAACTAGTTTTAGTTTAAACGTGCGCTGTTTGTCATTGCAGAAAAGATCTAGATAGATTTCTAATGTTTCTCTTCGACGCTGAAATTCACACCGACACGATCACTTTTGTAAATTAAACAAAACCACCGGCAGCCAGGCCGAAAACAGGAAATGGGAGTTCAGGTTCTGGTCACGTATGTGCCAGATTGACCTCGATCGAAGCCATCGAGATTCCAGCAAAAGCTTTTCGGACTATTCAAAATTTCAATTTGATGGCAAAATCCAGCAATCTGGCATCCATGAAATAAATGCAAATAAATATAACGTATTTTCATGTCATTTACAAGGAGGAAAGCAAGTATTGAAAATAAAGACAATGAAAATTTTTTAAAGGGTATTTTTATATCATTTAAGGTAAGTCATATACCTCTGGTGGAAACGGAATCCAAGTGGAAAAAAATTGAATTTTATGCATATCAAATCATGATTCTTCAATAGGGAAAAAAAGGAAGAAAAAAATATCAGGCCACCTTCAAATGTATCAAACAATAAACAAAGAGGAATTTGACGGATTTTTCTGCACGGTGAACTGGCCAGGCACAAGTTAGTCTCTTACCTCAGTCTGTACCTCCGTGGTCTTATAGATGACAGACTCCGTGGCAGACCCTGGTCTTGTCCCTATGGAGACAGAAAAAACAAACCATGAAACGTTTGCGTCTGGGGTGAAGAGACGCACATCAACAAACATGAACTATTATTTTAGTCTAGTATTTTGTAAATCTTGGCTGCTAGCACTTCATGGGGAGCGGACAAGGATGCACTCAGACAGCTATATGTTGGCTATGTACGATCTGCCATGGAATATAACCTAACCTTACAGACAATCTGCAGCAAACCAACTCAGAGGTCTCTTGACAAAATTCAAAATCAAGCTGTACCATTTATCTCCGGAGCTTTGAGATCCACTCCAACTGCAGCTTGTGAAATCCATACGAACCTGGAACCCTTGGACTTACGGAGAGAGGCAGCAGTTGTAGAGATGAGTGAGCGCTACAAAAGACTGGAGAAAAACCACCCAAACAGGAAAATAATTGAACAGAGACGACCAAAGAAACGAATTCTTGGAAGATCAATACTTGACACAGCAACTGAACTAGCAGAAAAACACCATCTTCCATGTAACAGAGAAATGCTGAAACCTTTAAGACCAGAACTCCCCCCAAACACTAACATCAAGAATGCCAACATCAAAACCTCCCTCATAAAAGAGACAGTGAAAAAGGAATGTGACCAAGTAGAACTGAAGACAACAGCTCTGAAGACAATTGACTCCTACCCTAGTGATTCAATTCATATTTATACAGACGGGTCAGCCTTCAAGGGAACTATAAACGCAGGCTTTGGGGTAAAATTGAACATCCTGACAAAACATGTGAAGAGCTATTTGACGCATGTGGTACTTCTTGTACAAATTACGAGGCTGAGGCAATCGCCATTGAAGCAGCAATCCTCCACCTGACCAACATTTTCATAATACATCCAAACAAAATCAAGAACACTATAAACTTCACAGACGGAAAGTCAGTACTCCAAGCCTTGGAAAACATGAATTTCGAAAGCCCAGCCTGCCTATCCGTGGCTCAAACAATCAATACGTTCATACAGACCTATGCCGTCGACCTGACACTACAGTGGATACCTGGCCACAGCAACATCCCAGGAAACGACAGAGCAGACACCCTTGCCAAGAAGGGAGCAACACAAACACAACCACACAACCCAGTATCACAACAGACAGCCAAGAACATCATCAAATGCAACACCAGGGAACAGTGGCTGAATGGATGGGCAATGGGCAAAACTGGAAGAACTGTATTTGCACACATGACAGCCCCCAACTCTAAAGATGTAATAAATTCCCTGAGTAGAAGAGAACAAGTCACGATATTTCGCCTGCGAACACAACACATACCACTAAATTCCTACCTTAATAGGATCCACAAGGATACCCCACCCGACTGGCAGGATGAAACAGTACCACACCACCTCTTTAACTGCCCAGCACTTTGTGATCTGCGTAGCACCTACCTACCTGCCTCCCCAGACATCGGAAACACTCTATACAGCGAGAAAGCACAGCTGATTAAAACCTGTCAATTCTTTGCCATATCGACAGACCGAAGGGCTAGAACCCAAATGGCCGCTGGATCGGAAAAGTAAAGTAAAAGTAAGTAAATCTTGGCTTGGAGAAGCTCCTTTCAACGGGGCATTCAACAAACTTTTTACTATTTAGTTTTAGTAAGACTTTTACAGCACTTGCAACACATTACGGTCATATATATATGAGTGACGAAAATTAGAGGTGTTACAAGAGAGTAACAAACACAACGGGTAACAAGGAAATGAGATAAGTACGATAGATGTCATGTTTAACCCTCATCCTGCGGGAGCCGGGTTTATGTAGCCCGATAAGCCTATTTCGGCACCTCGCCTGCGTTCTGGTCCCGAATCAGTGTAGCTCCTGGCTCAGCGCACGCGCAGCGCGCATCCTCTTACGTGTCATTCGGGTCCCGAGTCGGATCCCCATTCACGCAGGTCAAGTGTGTGTGCGTCAGTCTGCTTGAGTTTGTGTGCGTTTGTGGCCTTCTAGAACCACCTGCGTTGGTTCGTAATCGAGGCATACGTCTCATTCAAAACATGCCAAGTTGATAGCTCTAGATGTTCGTCCAATGAAATTATAGAAGAAATTGACCCACTTAGACATGAGGAGCTCGAAAGGATAGTCAGGAAACAAGACTTACATTTTTCTATACAAAATATTTCAAATGAGCTCTTGATTTTATATGAAATGATACTACCTGATAAAAAATAAGCTTGTTTGATAGTTTTGAATACCCTTGTGCAGGTACAAAGAACAATTTGAGTGTAAAACATTCGGAAATTGACCTAAATTATCCCCTTTCGAACCTCAGGTCATTCATAACAACAAGAGCGTCCAGAAAGGTTATTCAAATGGGCGTAACTACTCGTAATGTCTTATCAGCTTGTGAGAGGGGGTTATTCATGTGTTTGTAACACTTTATAAATAGAAAGCTATGACGGACAGAGCGTTATTTTCATCATCAGTTAACACACTCCCGCGGTATTCATGGCGAAAACACACGTTTCCTGGCGCGCGCGCTGTACACCAACAGTACACACTGAGTGACCCCGGCGGCATGCCCGGCACGTCCGGCGTAATCGGTTGCTGATAAGATACGCATCTGGGCACAGACGCAGGATAAGAGTTAATAGGAAAGAAGGAGCAAACCACACTAGAGCACTCGCCAACCACCCATGCGGCACTTGTAAAACAATAAGGTCATAGACGTGCCGAAGAGTAGAGGTGTTACAAGAGAGTAAAAAACACAAAATAAGAACGAGGGGACTTAAGGACGACAAACGTTTGATAGGAAAGAAGGAGCAAACCACACCAAAGCACCCGCCAACCAGCCACATGAACTATTTGAGACCAGTGTAATGTACATATTGTACAAAATCAATCCCACAGTCAACACAACTAAAACCATTTAGAAAGTGGGCCACTTAAACTCCAATCCCGGATGACCGACATGGATGACTGGGGTACAACGTCCCAGCCGAAAGAGCACACAGACACAAAATATTTACCAGACAGTTGGTGGCTTGTCTCCGGTTCCATTTTTATGTGGTCACTGTCTTTTCTGTGGACAAGATGAGAGACATATTACACACACAGCCAGAAAACACACATATACACTCACATATCCAGGAAAACACACACACACACACACACACATCTTAACAAACAGTCACGCACACACAAAAACTGACAGCATCATGAACTCGGCCACCTATTCTATATAATACATACACATACAAAAACACGAAAGCGTACCTTCCAGCTGTTTCCATGGCAGGACTTGAACTCCTACTCCTACAATCCCGACCATTACCACCTCCATGCGCTCTTTGAGCTGCCCGTTGCCTGGTGGGGGAGACGGACACTTGCCTCTCAGTGAGGGAGACAGAGCGGGCCCGCTGGCCTTCCGAGGATACAGATGCTTGTTCTTGCTCGGGATCCACCTCGGTTTTCTTCGACGCCTCCTGAAAAATTGAGGGTGGGAATTTAATTGCTTTCTTTTCAAAACATGTTTAGTTTTAGTAAGGTTTTACGGTCCTCGCAACGGCATAAGTCACTTTCTGTTCTTTTACTATTTCATTCTCTATTGCCATTAAGGTAAGCGCCGAGGACAGTCGCAGTTTTCTACGGTAGGCCAACTCTGCAGTTCTTTCACTTGGGACGTTGTTGTAATTTCTCAGGGTTCCCTTAATTTTCTCAATTTAATTAAGGCATGGGAAAAAGAGAAGCACATCAACACATTTAGCAGGAGGAGGGAGAGGAAGATGTAGAAGAGGAGGAGAAAGAGGGAGTGATGGACAAGGATGTGGAGGAGGAGAGGAGAAAAAGAAAAACTTCTTCTATAACACTACTTTCCTCCACGTCAAATACACACACACACACACAATTATTACCTCCAGTTTGGCACTACTTTTCTCCAGCGCAAGCATAATTCACACACACAGAATTACCTCCAGTTTGCTTTCCAGCTCAACAACCCGGTGCTCCTGCGAGCACCAAGTGTCCTCCCTTTCACGGTATTTCTCCACAAAGAGCCTGTAGCGAGTGCCCAGGTGGTGCATCTGTTTCTTGAGCTCGTCTCGCTCTTTGTCTCTCAGCGCAACCTCTCTGCGTAGCCGGCGAGTCTCACCCTCCAGACGAAGGACTTCCGGCTGCAGAAGAGAGAGGTTGTTATTGATTCAGAGAGAAGAAGGTAAACATTTCATTCTATTAATATTGATCTACCACAGTTCTAATAGAGATCATCTATTTCTCTCCCTCT